AACAAGATTCAATCACAGACGGTGGTTCTGTAGAGCGAGAGTTAAAACCTTGAAGTCTTTGCATGTATGTGAGGACACGAGTCTGTTAATTGACGTTTGCAGTATTTAAATGGTTTATGATCCTCTGAAAGGAGAGCGATTAATCCCTGACTGAAGACGTAATGTACAGGTATGACTATCATGGCTGGGTATCGAGTTTGATACTTTTTAGGCACCGACCGAATTGCCTCGATATCATCGAGTATCAAAAAATGTCTTGTAGTTCGGCACCAAATTTCGATACCTAAGGGTTAATCTCGTCAACGTCGGTGAGCCAATAAGCATGCAGCATAATTGGCTGTGGCGAGGCGCCGAGGCATCAAGGTAAAACACTAGTTTACACCGGTTACGCCCAGAGACGTCGTTTACACATGAGGCTGTAGTGTGTGTAAGGGCCCCAATCCCCAAAGATGTGGAAAAGATCCACCAGGCTCAATGCCAACAGCGGGCAATGCAATGTTTCTGACAAGATCATTCGGTGAGCCAAGACCAGCAACACGACCAAGACCAGCAACACGACAAATCTGATGAAGCACGTGACCATGCACAGAATAAACTTAAAGGGATACTCCACTTTTTTTGGAAATGGGCTCATTTTACAACTCCCCCAGAGTTAAACTGTTGAGCTTTACTGTTTTTGAACCCATTCAGCCGATCTCCGGTTCTGGCGGTACCACTTTTAGCATAGCTTAGCATACATCATTGGAGTGGACAAGACCATTAGCATTTCTCAAAAAAAAAATGACCAAAGAGTTTCGATATTTTTCCTATTTAAAACTTGACTCTTCTGTAGTTACATCGTGGACTAAGACCGACGGAAAATGTAAAGTTGCGATTTTCTAGGCTGATATGGCTAGGAACTATACTCTCATTCCTGCGTAATAAAAAAAGACTATATAGCCTATATTTGTTAACTCACGGGGCGCGTCGAGTACAGTATTAACAAAAATGTTATATCATGCAATCATGCACAAACTGAATTTGACTTGACTTTAAGCACATTATTGGGACCATCTCTGAGGAAAGCTAGGTGAGATTTTGATACAGCAAAAGAGAAGACATTGATGACATGCTTTTCGTTTATTTGGCAAAAAAAGTAGAATGTGTATCACTATCTCTACAGGAACTTATGTGCATTTTTAGCACACAAAGATTGAAATTAACTTGCATTTATCAAACTGCCAACTTAAGTGTAGCTCTTACAAAAATTGTATCTTTTAAAAGAAAAAGAGAGGAACTCTTAAAACTCTGTCTTTTAAATAAGTCAAAATACATGAAACATAATTGCCTGTAATTCGGCTGTAGCAATATCAAAGGCCATAATCATAAACATAAGTTCAACCTCAACACAAAAACAGTATCAACAATGCTTCTATTCCCTGAGAGTGAGGATACATTTTTTTCACTTGAAATTAAAGTGCAGTATTTAGAAACATATGACTGGAGTTCTTATCTAAACTTAAAGTGCCACTGTAGCTATATAATATCATAACATGAAATCCAAAATGTTCCCACACACCGGACTTATACGACGCTGGCGCATCCTCCAACTCCGGTTAGCCTTCCTTATCTCTCCCAATTGCAGTTAGCCTTCCTTATCTCTCCCAATTGCAGTTAGCCTTCCTTATCTCTCCCAATTGCAGTTAGCCTTCCTTATCTCTCCCAATTGGCTTTATGCACAGCTGCACTACTTCCTGAACTTCAGCCAGCTCCTTTGTTTCCTGTCTGCCATTATTGGACAAACTGATTAATCCAGGTGTGCCTGGCCTCAGTAACAATAATCAGGCACACCTGGATTAATCAGTTTGTCCAATAATGGCAGACAGGAAACAAAGGAGCTGGCTGAAGTTCAGGAAGTAGTGAGGTCACATACGGGCACGAGGCTACATTGCGCATGCGTCGAACCGTGAGACGCGCACACGCTCCGAACCGAGACAAGCGAACCGAACGGTTCGGATGTTTTTTCATGTACCGTGCCACCCCTACTCCAGACTAACCCCACATCATGTAGACATGTTACTGTTTTAAAATAAAAACTAGACAGTGTGTGGATTGAGGTAGGCCTGCTATTTTTATTTGACGAAAAAACTTTGCCGTTTTTTCAAAGCTTCAAATGGATTCAGTGATTTCTTTTTGTCATCTTAATTTGTTAATTATTTAAGTAAAAAAAAATGAGTGTAGGCCTATTTTATGTTTTTTATTTAAATTATTTTATTCAGTTTTTCTCTGTAGTCACTGTGAAGTCTGTGAAAATTTGATGTGAATCCGGGTTCTGTTGTTGATATGTTCTGCTGTTTGCACGTTAAAATAAACCCGTGAATTTTTTTTTTTGTATTTTTAACGAGTCACAGGCACTCGTCAATTTTATTTTTTATTTAATTCAATAGGCTATTATAATCTTATCAGTTAACGGTTAACACTCGGGATAACGAGTGGCGGTTGTCGGTCGGGAAAATTAACCGAAATGATCATCCCTAATCTGAACTGTATTATATCACCTTGTTCGTGTTTTATCACATGAAGTCCATGTGGAGAGTTGACGAGTTCTCTGACTGCTCACTTCAGCCTGAAAGCGCCATTAGCTTTCATCAGTGAGCGGAAATGTGTTCAGCGTTTCTAGTTCTTTGTGAAGATAAAGGTTTAAAGTATCTTGTTGGCAGAACACAGCAGGGAGAGAAGATGAACGTCTCCACAGCTGCTTCTCAGAACATTTAAGGTGAAATAAGCACTAAAGTGTTGGAGCAGAAGGCCTTGATCCATCTGACAGAAACCTTGCCTCCAATTCAACTAGTTTAAACATCACAGAGTCTGACAAACTGCCTCTGCTGGTCTTTTGAGTGTGTTTGAGCTCAGTTATACGCAACTCTTGTGGAATATATAGGAATATTCCAGTGTTTTTTCAAAGTCGTTTCTGAGTACCTCTTATCCAGATCATTTACAGATTCAGTTTACACCTGGACACTTCATGCGTTTTCTCAGATCGGATAGCTCTCTGATTTATCAAAACGATTCCATTTACACCTGGTCACATAAATGTGTTTTTTACAAAACTGATATATACAGTGGTGTGAATAAGTTATTACCCCCATGCTAAAGTTGCCTAAAAAGAGGAATAAAAAATCATCTTTTGGAAATTGATCTTAATGCCTTAATTAGAAAAATGAGGAAAAATCCAACCTTTAAGGACACCAATTTTCTTTGTGTATGAATAATGTATCATAAATAAATAAATGTTCTTCCTTAAAATACAGGGTGCATAAGTCAGGCCCCCCCTATGTTAAATTCCCATAGAGTCAGGCAGATTTTTATTTTTAAAGGCCAGTTATTTCATGGATCCAGGATAATATGCATCCTGATAAAGTTCCCTTGGCCTTTGGAATTAAAATATCCCACATCATCACATTCCCTTCTCCACACCTAGAGATTGGCATGGTGTTATTTCAGTTAGCCTAATAGCTGGTTTGATTTGCATTGAAAGATGATCTTATGGAAAGTACCCCATGCCAATCTCTAGGTGTGGAGAAGGGAATGTGATGATGTGGGATATTTTAATTCCAAAGGCCAAGGGAACTTTATCAGGATGCATATTATCCTGGATCCATGAAATAACTGGCCTTTAAAAATAAAAATCTGCCTGACTCTATGGGAATTTAACATAGGGGGGCCTGACTTATGCACCCTGTATTTTAAGGAAGAACATTTATTTATTTATGATACATTATTCATACACAAAGAAAATTGGTGTCCTTAAAGGTTGGATTTTTCCTCATTTTTCTAATTAAGGCATTAAGATCAATTTCCAAAAGATGATTTTTTATTCCTCTTTTTAGGCAACTTTAGCATGGGGGTAATAACTTATTCACACCACTGTAAATCCAATCTTCAATTCCCGCGCTATATGCAGATTTAATGGAGTTCACGTCACCGAAAGCAACAGATATGAGCTGCATTTTATTGATCATCAGCTATAATTTCTAAATCAAAGAGCGCAATAAGAGAGAGGCAACAGCCCTGGTAAGATCATTTCGTTTCTTTACTTTTAATGATGATGATTGTGTGTTAAGCTTTCATTCATTCATTCATTTCATTTTATTTGGTTTATCATTAACAAATATACAATAACAAATATTCAACTCATCATATACATAACTTTTGATTAAACCAAAGGGTATAGGCTGAAGCTCAAGGCTTATTGACGCCTATCCCTCTCAATTTTTACAACAGTCAAACAGTGCTCAATTCTCTTCTTACAAACACTTGAAACAACAAAGTCATAGATATTAATTACCCAGCTTTCACTTCATTTGCGATAGTTTGCACGTTGGCTTGATGAATAGATGCTCATCTGCGGTGATGCGTGTCGCAGTAGCGTCGTCATATCTGACTATAACATGACATATAGCCTATATAACACGCTCTCACACGCTTATTTATTTTTTAGCATTTTTTGGGAGTAAAATTTACATATGTGGTTTCAACAACCAGATGCATTTACACTCGTCCAGTTTCATCTGGAACGCGGCCCAGACCTCCTCCTGAAGCGGTGTGAGCGATCGGATTCAAATCCGTCTCGAATGCGTTTCGGAGGGCATTTACACCTGGTCTTTTCACGATCGGATAGCTATCCCATCACAGAACACGCATGAAGTGACCAGGTGTAAACAGCCCCTTAGACTCAGAGAACAAATGAACTCAAGTGAAACCTTTCTTGGTTAAACCTGGTCTTTTGGGTGTGTTTCAGCTCAGTTATCCACAACTTTCGCTTATACGAATATTCTAGTGTTTTTTCAAACTAATTTCTGAGTACCTCTTATACGAGACATTTACCCAGATCATTTAGACTCGGTGAGTACAAATGAACTCAAGTGAAACCTTTATTAACAGCTTCAGTAAAGCATTACTAGACGTTAAACCCTCAATGTTTTATGAAGAAATAACGTGTCTGTTTCTCTCTCCTGAAGGATCTGGGTGGCATGAGTCCACCTCAGAGGAACTGGAAGGGGATTGCGATCGCTCTGCTGGTCATTCTGGTGGTGTGTTCTCTCATCACCATGTCTGTGATCCTCCTCACTCCAGGTACAGCAAACCCCTAATGATGAAGTTAATCTTCATCATCATCATCATTCATTGGAGTGCTCCAGTTCCATCTGGAATCTTGCAAACTTTTGGTACACTTTATTTCGAGTTTTTAGTCTCTCTCAATATTACAAACACACACATATTTTTTTAAAACACACATACTAACCACACTCTGACATCCATACAAACACACACACACAAATATCGTTGCATAATTTATCCAATTGCCTGTATAATATGCCGAAGCAGAAAACAGGAATAAAGCGAGTATTTGCTTTATTGGCCAAACCTGGAAAAATGGCACCATCTGGTAAAAAAAATAGTATTTATTTTTATTTTTAAGCCTTGCCAACAGAATGAAAGCCTCTTAACAAAGATTGCATCATTTTATAGTTAAATGGCCCTGGGATTAAAAATTGCAGTTTTAATGGGTTTCAATGGGGACATTTTTGTCCAAAAAGCGCTGAGAGGGAGTATTATCTAGTGCAAAATTGATTTTTTAAAGAAAATGGCGGTGAAATAGTAAAATTCCAATAAAAATACACACTTGTGCCAAATTGTATGCAGTTAGCAGTAACACAGGCAAAGTGATAAAAAAAAAAAAGGACAAAAATGTCCTTAAGGATGCACAAGGGCTAACTAAGGATGCGCTCAAAGCCGAATTATATGGAAAGGCAAGAATAATGGCTTCAAATCAAATAACGAATAATTCTGAGGCTCACACAGTCACTCCTTGTGTTTGCTGGATAACAGTTGAGCCAGGGGATAGCATGATATTAAACCTCTAATAATGGAGTAATGAGTGTGTGAAGTCAATGAGTGTAAACACTATGGATGAAATGAGCTCAAATCAAATAACCGCTCTTGCCTCTCCGTGTGTCTCAGAAATCAGAGGTAGGCGAGAGTAAATCAACTAAAATACATCATTCACGTGTTCTACTATTTTAAATTATTTTAACCCTGTATATTATAAATAAACGAATGGAATCAATAAGCACGGCAAGATCGCAAATCAAACAACCGCTGTGTGTCTTTCAGAAACCAAACCAGCTCTCTGTCACGAGTAGCCTACATTTTCTACTACTTGATATGTCTATTTACATTTTTTTAACTTTGTATGATATGATAGGCTACAAATTTCCCAGTCTCACTAGTCTCTCGGATATAGCATTTATGCAGGTAAAAACTTCCACGTTCTCTAATCCACTATTTATAAAGCCAGACTCCTCTTATTTGAGGTTGTGGTTATTCCAACATTACTTATTGGACAGAGTTCCTCTGGAAAATAATATATTTTATTATTTCTGTTTTAACCCCTTAAGTTGCACATTACATAGACATTACATATTTAAAACAGTTATATTGACAAACTATATATCATTTGAAAATGTACAATCTGTAGTTTTCATATTTGGTGATTTATTTTCAAAATAAATTACAGAAGAGCCGTAATCTATCAATTTGCAACAAGAATATTTTCATACTCCTAAGGCGTGTTCAGACCTTTATTTTGAAATAGTGATGAACATGAAAACAATGAAAGAATAGCAACCTCAGTTTGTTTTCATACCAATAGTTCAAAAGATAACATCCTTTCATTTTTTGAAAAAAAGGTCTGAAATGTTTTAAATATAAAGAAAAAAATTATAGATTCACCATTTGTGATGTGGCAGCGAGCTATAACGCACATACGTGTTCTTTTTATGTGATTTATTGAGGTTGACTTCATATCAAAATATGCCAAACTTCCCTTACTACTTCTGAATAGGATGCATAAATTGTATAAAAATTGTGGAAATAATGGTTCAGATCACTCAAAGCACATATGGAAATGGAGGCGTAGTGAAAAATGCAGACCTAGTGGAAAAGTTCGGTACTGCGCCCAAACAAAATCTCACTGGAAGCTCATTTTTTAAGATATCAACCTAAAATTTAAAACACAACTTGTTCAGAGTTTTGGCTTTGATTTTCTTGCAGTTTTAGAGTCCAACAGGTTTCGAAAAAATATATTTAATATAAAATATGAATAATTACATTTTTACTTTTTTTCTGTTTCACTTTCTTAATTTATTTATTTACATATCTGCCAAATGTCTGCTTTAAAAAAAGAACAATCTTACATCTATATTCCAAAGCATTCTTGAATTACAACCACTTAGGTTCAGATTGTGCATTTTCGTGTTTATTCAAAAAAAGACTCGAACTCAGGTTGCCCGGATAGTAAACCCATAGACCTAACAGCTCAATTACTTGTATGAACTTCCGGGTAAAGCCTGGCCCACTTCCGGTTTTATCCAAATACAGATATGATTAATTTTGAGATTGTTACAGATACAGATATTGCCTCCACTGCACACCCCTACTACTGACTATCAGTAACTTTGCAACTTCATGTCAACTAACAAGAGTATTACAGTGTCCGTTCACACTGCAAAATATGCTTTTCTTACTTAGTTTTTTTGTCTCGTTTCCAGTCCAAAAATCAAAAAACTCTTAAATCAAGATGCATTTACTTAGGTAGTAAAATGTCATAAGATATTATGGGCCCTATTTTAACGATCTGAAACGCAAGTGTCAAAGCGTAAAGCGCAAGTAACTTTGTGGGCGGATCCCGGCGCTGTTGCTATTTTACCGGCGGGATAAATGCCTCTTGCGCCTGGCGCAAATCTAAAAGGGGTTGGTCTGAAGTCGCTTCATTATTCATAGGTGTGGTTTGGGCATAACGTGAAATAAACCAATCAGAGCGTCATCTCACATTCCCTTTAAGAGCAGGCGCGCGCGCATGTTGCATGGCGGATTGCTATTATAACGGCGGATTTGCCAGGCGCGCGCCAGGAGCGGTTCACAGCCGAGGAGAGCAACGTTCTCGTCAGGGCCGTAAAACACAGAGAAGTGACATTGGGATGGAGAAACCCACCCAAATTAACTTCTGTTAAACAGGCGTATGATAATTTGGGTAAATGTGTAAGCTACATGCTTTTATAATAAATTGTCTATCTATCTATCTATCTATCTATCTATCTATCTATCTATCTATCTATCTATCTATCTATCTATCTATCTATCTATCTATCTATCTATCGTAATAATGTATGATTTGCAAAAATGAAAACTGCTGCTTAGATGAGAGAATCAAAGTGTATGCGCGTTGTGCAAACGCTACATTATGGTCAAGCATGCGCCCTTAAAATAGCATAATGAACAACGCGCAACGCGCCACTGACTTTAGACTAGTTTTTTTCTGGTCAGTGGCGCAATTGTTTTATAGAACAGCAAAATAGCATGAGGGAAGGTTTGCGCCGGAACACGCCTCCTCTTTGCGCTGAACCGCCCCGGGAGCGCAAGTGTATTTCTTAGTTAACCGACGTGCGTCTGTGGAGGGAAAAGTCCGCTTTGCGCGGGTGCAAAATAGGAATGATACATGCGTCAGTGTACAAAGCCATTTGCGCCGAGTGCAAGATAGGGCCCTATGTCTTGTTTTCTGGGGAAATAAATAAAAAGGAAGTGAGCTTTTGCTTACAACAAGCAAAATGATCTGCCAATGGGGTCAGAAAAATAATCTTGTTTCTGTTTGAATTAACATTATTTTTCTGACCCCATTGGCAAATAATTTAGCTTGTTTTAAGCAAAAACTCACTTAATTTTTATTAATTCCCCAGGAAAACAAGAAATAAAATCTTATGGTATTTTACTAATCTTGAGTTAAGAATTTTTAGATATTTGGACTGGAAACAAGACAAAAATACTAAGTAAGAAAAGCATTTTTGCAGTGCAATATCAGCCAGCACTTTATTCAGATGCTCTCCAACAGACTTTCTATAAGTGTAAGTATCTATATAACTATAAGTATCTTATAACTATAAGTATCTTTCCAAGTTCATGCAAACTTATCCGTCTAACCTTAACCTTCAAGTCTACTAATAGTCTAATGAGAGTTAGTTGACATCTACAGTAGTGGCCAAAAGTGATGTCCGGGGGGAATAACTCCAAATATGAGGAAAATATTTAACATTTTTTAAATGTTAAATATGAGGGAAGAACAAAACTCTAAACTTAAGGTTAAGGTATTTATCTGACAGAATTATTTAGCAAAAAATGCAAACTACAGCTACAGGTTTCTTTTTTACTTAGCAAAAAATTGCATAGAAAAACAAAAAGCTCAGAGGAAAAACCATACATTGACTACAACATAATCCGTTAATAATATTTTGTTGGTTTTCCAATGTGTTTATAATTTCTTTGTATGACAGCCTGGATAAAAATGATGTTGGCACAATTTGGCATGTTTTATTGCGTTATAATCACAAATAAAACCCAAGCACAACTACGCAATATGCTAAACTCTTTAAATAATAATATTTGAGTAAAGGGGAAGATGAAGACTTTAACCCACTACTATAGTTGCAGATTAATGAGTTAGTTGACATGTAGTTGCAAAGTTACTTATAGTTAGTAGAAAGTTTAAAGTGGATTATCGAAATAAAGTGTAACCAAACCTTTGCTAAAGTAGTCTGTGTGTTAGTGAATCTGCTGTTTGTTTGTGTAATGTGTGACACCTGTGGCCTTCAGTGGCTCCATTACTGCTCGTGACGCTCTTGTCTGTGTGTGTGTGTGTGTGTGTGTGTGACAGTGGACACACTACCGGGCAGTGACACCAAGCTGGCGGTGGAGGATCTTTTCAGTGCAGATTTCAGTGTTCATGACCCTGAAGCTCTTTGGATCAACGGTAAGACAATACGACCACAGATCCACACGCATCATTAATTTCTAATGGCTCTCATTCATTAATCATCTGTACACCATCATGAGCTCTTAAGCACCGCTGATCGCAGAGGATGATTGATCATTACCACAGATAAACATTAGAAAACCACCAGGTTGAATAAAAGGAAAACATCTCTGACCGACATGTTAAGATTCACTGCAAAAATACATTTCCTTTCTTAGATATTTCTACTGGACGAAAATACTTGGCATTCTTAAATCAAGACACATTTACTTGAGAAGCAAAATTACTTAAGTTAATAAGTCTTGTTTTCTGAAAAATGTGTCAAAATGAAGTGAGTTTAGGCTTAAAACAAGTAAAAATGGAGTCAGACAAATAATGTTTTCTGACTCCACTGGCAGATATTTTTATTTGTTTTAAGCATTAACACATTTTTCAGAAAACAAGACTTATTAACTTAAGTGAGTTTATGCTTAAAACAAGTAAAAATATCTGCCAGTGGACTCAGAAAACATTATTTGTCTGACTCCATTTTTACTTGTTTTATAAGCCTAAACTCACTTCATGTTGACACATTTTTCAGAAAATAAAACTTAAAATCTAAAGTCATTTGCTTCTCTAGTAAATGTCTTGAATTAAGAATGTTTAGTATGGAAGCTTGTTTCCGCCACAGAATGAAAAATAAAAAAGGTAATTGCGACATTTTATCTCACAATTCTGACTTTTTTTCTCACAATTGCGAGATATAAAGTCGCAATTGCATGATATAAAGTCAGAATTGCGAGATATAAAGTTAGAATTGATTGATATAAAGTCAGAATTGATTGATAAAAAGTCAGAATTGATTGATATAAAGTCAGAATTGCGAGATATAAAGTCAGAATTGCGTGAAATAAAGTCGCAATTGCGAGATATAAAGTCAGAATTGCGTGATATAAAATCTCAATTGCGCGCTATAAAGTCAGAATTGCGAGATATAAAGTCAGAATTGATTGATATAAAGTCGCAATTGCGTGATATAAAGTCAGAATTGCGAGATATAAAGTCAGAATTGATTGATATAAAGTCGCAATTGCGAGATATAAAGTCAGAATTGCGAGATATAAAGTCAGAATTGCGTGTTATAAAGTCAGAATTGATTGATATAAAGTCGAAATTGCGTGTTGTAAAGTCAGAATTGCGAGATATAAAGTCAGAATTGATTGATATAAAGTCGAAATTGCGTGTTATAAAGTCAGAATTGTGAGATATAAACTATTCTGAGGGGAAAAAAGTTAGTCTTTTCCCCCCCTTAGAATTGGCCAGATAACTCGCAATTGCGACTTTATATCTCACAATTGTGAGAAAAGATGTCAGAATTTCGAGATATAAACTCGCAATTATGTGTTATAAAGTCAGAATTGCGAACTCGCAATTGTGAGATAAAAAGTCGTAATTCTGTCTTTTTTTCTCGCAATTGCGACTTTATTTCTCAGAATTGCGACTTTATATTTCGCAATTGCGACTTTATTTCTCAGAATTGCGACTTTATATTTCGCAATTGCGACTTTATTTCTCAGAATTGCGACTTTATATCTCGCAATTGCGACTTTATTTCTCAGAATTGCGATATTTAAACATTCTTAAATCAAGATACATTTACTAGAGAAGCAAAATGACTGAAGAATGTCTTGTTTTCCAGTACAAATATGTAAGAAAGAAATAAATTTTTGCACTGCAGTCAGATTGTGAATGCCAATTTCAGCAGCTCTGACCGTTTTTGTATTCAGTTCGGATCCGTCAGTTTAATTTTAATATCAATATATCATTTTAATATCATGTTTCAAGCAGTAAGCTTTGCTCAAACAACAACAACAAGCAGTTTTAAATTGTCCTTATTTATCTCAGCACGGTGAGGCTGTTAGGGCTGGGCGGTATATTGAGTTTGTACAATATTGAAATATTTGTATAAACTATATAGAATGATGCAATACCATTCATATCGATATACAGTAGCTTAATATTACGAGCGGAGGACACTGAGTGAGCTACTGTGCGGAAAGTGCATAATCCAATTTGTCGTAAACATGAGACATGCTGTATATTCAGGGCTTCAAAATAACTTAGCATGGTTTGCCCCGACAGATGCTCTGACAGGCACTCGTGCTGTTTAATGCGTTCGAGATGTGTTTTCCTCAGTGCATAACTTAACATCATTTCACAGGTGTATTCTCCATCTGTAAATGCTAAAAAGTCATGCAAATATTTATCTTGCTGTCAGGAGTGGATGCAAGCGAGTCTCCGCTAAACTTCACAGACTTCGGGGAAAGAGCGCTGCCGTGTTGTAATGGGGTAATGAAATGTAGGCATATACAGGTGAAACTCGAAAGAATATCGTGCAAAAGTTCATTTATTTCAGTAATTCAACTTAAAAGGTGAAACTAATATATTATATAGACTCATTACATGCAAAGTGAGATATTTCAAGCCTTTATTTGTTATAATTATGATGATTAGAAAACCTTTTCACAATATTCTAATTGTGAATTTGGGGTTTTCATAAGCTGTTAAGCCATAATCTCAAGTCTCAAGCGCCCTCTTTATGTTCGTCCTAATGCCTGTTAGTTGTCCGTGGATTTGCCTATATTTAGCGTTGAAAATAGAAATGATGTCATCAAACAATCAAGTCATTCCAACCAGCTGTCAGCAATCAGTAATCAACAGGTCCACTCAATAAACATGAGTAATGCCTGGCTCACAGGAGTTTTAGGCCGATTTATGCCCGATTTTTCCCTCACGGGAATCAGAGAAAAAATCTTGTTGATTACCTCGATCGGTTCCGATGTTCGGCGCAGATTATCTGGTAATGTGAGGCTTTCACAGATCGAATCTTGACCTCCCGATCTGCTCTCACACAAATCGGGCTCGCCCCCGATCATATCAAACATGTTTGATATTTATCGGGATGAGCAAGATTGTGATTAAAACAAGATTGTGATTACCGGTATGCAGAGGTGGGTAGTAACGAAGTACATTTACTTCGTTACATTTACTTGAGTATTTTTTTGGAAAATTTGTACTTTTAAGAGTAGATTTAATTGTGGGTACTTTTACTTTAACTCGAGTAGATTTTTAATGAAAAAACGGTACTTTTACTTCGTTACGTTTGGCGACGTTCCTCTCGTTACTTTATTTTAATGCAATATTGTTAAAAGCGTAGTTTATTCTAAGCGCGCGCTCTCTCTTTTTTCTGAGCATGAGCGATGCTCAATTCACAAATGAATCACTCTTTTGAGTCGATTCTGTTCAAAGACTTCATCAAACAAGTTGGGCAGATCTGTCTAAATCGGTTCGCGAATCAGTTTGAATGATCTGTTCAGTTCCTCGCGCACTGAATCGTCTCGGAGTCGTAACAGGAAGATTTAAAGTCCCACTCCGATCATATTTTTAGCTATTTTTAAACATTCCCAGTGGTCTTTAAATTATGATTATGCCATTTTTAGCCAAAATCACAAAACCTGTGCCGTTTTCTGGGACTTCGCTTCAGCAGAGCGGCAGTAGCTCATTAGCAATTCGCCTCTGCGTTGTGGGCGGAGCCGTTGGCACGGAGACGCCCCTCCCCCTGCCCGTTGCTGAGAGCTCTGTCTCTCCCGCTAGCTTACACCTCCAATACCGGTGGGGCAACAGTATTATATACACGTTAATTATTATTATCCGAAGTTAATCAAAGTTATCACCGATCACCGATCATTATTTCACTCCAAGACGTCGCGTGTGGAGACGCCCAGTGGAGTTACTACATCACAACTCCAGTCGATTTTAGCCGGCATTTTAGCGTCTGCTACTGATACACAGCCATTTGAATGTAGAAATACTCAGAAATACAACTTTGAGCTGATTTTTCTCAAGATATGTCCTCTAACATCAGAAAAATGCCACAAGAACATGTTAACACCTAGAAAAACATTGTTTTCATCGGAGTGGGTCTTTAAGAACATCAAGAGCGTTGTATGAAGTGGCGGTCCACAGTCTACAGTACAGTCTAGAAACTAAATCTGCAAATGCATCATATTTTTTTGCCAGCGATGAAGATCTTTATTAGTTGAACATCTTCGTATGTTACTTCGTAAGCTGTCTGTGAATGAATGATTCCACACGACGATACATTCGATTCATTCAGGTAATACATTTTACAACCAAACAGATTATTACGCCATATAGCACTACTACAAAGTATGGCATTACCCTTTTTTTGGACATATACATTACTTTATACATTACATAAGCTATCATCGTCCAGTTTATGAATGTGTGTACACACACAATGAGTGTGTATTGCGCAGTGGCGTGCGAACTCGACTTGAAAACGAATGCCTTTGCCTGGCTTATTAGACACAGTTAACCAGTTTAAAGATGCTTTCATAAATATAGCCTACATTTAAATACATTTTGGAGAACAGACAGAAGAAGATCCGTGTATTTTATCGTTGTTTGTGTTGGGCATGACATGACTGCGAGCACATGTGAAGAGTTTTAACACTTTCTAATCTGTCAATGGTTCCCATCCCTTTACATATGAATGCAAAACTCCATAGAGTCACTTTATTCCGACATTGTCTAATAATCCAAATGTAGTTGTATAAGTTACTATACTATTATACAAACCAAAGGACAGGCAATGGTTTTCAGGCTATAGATATACAGAAATAATGTTTGTCTCTTCTGTTTTTGTTGCAAAGATAGCTTATCTAATTAGGATAATAATAGTCATTTAAATGAAAAAAAAATCTAAATAATATCATGTTACATATACCAGGGTTCTCAAGTTTTATCAAAAGCTTGGAGTGAGATCACATGCGGTTAGGGGAGGAGCCCAAGGGGAGGAGCCCCAGTGGAGCCCCGCCCACCCCGCCCCCCAATTTTACCCATTGTTCATAATTAACCAGCACAAATTAAAATTATAACAATTGGTAAATCTGATAAATGACAGAGCAATTCATCACATCAAATATACTCTTTAA